GAGGAGGAGGACGAGCGTGCCTTCCGTCTTGGGCATCTCGTCTTCGCCTCCTGCCCGCGGCAGGCAGCCCCGGAAGCCCCCCGTCGACGAGGTGGTGCTGCCGCCGGCTCGGGCGGGCACGGGAGAAGCTGCACTGACAGCGCGCCGCGGCCTCCTCTTCCTCCTCCTCCTCCTCCTCCTCCTCATCCTCTTCCTCCTCCTCCTCCTCCTCCTCCTCCTCCTTCTCCTCGGCTTCGAGGATTTCTGTCGCGAATGCCGCTTTTAGGTGGTGGCTCTTGCTGCTGACGGTGCGCCTTATCCTATGCTTGGCCTCCTGCCACATCCTGGTGAAGGTGAACTTCTCGCTGCAGAGGCGGCGCCACACCGCGGTCAGCGTGTGGCAGACGCGACGGCTACCTACAGCGCTACTGATTCTCCTCAAAAGCATGCTTCTGTTGACGATGTCATGCGTCCACCTGGGCCCCCTCCCTGGCGTGATGCTCTTCCTGCTGCTGGCGACATCTCCGCTCCTGGACTTGAGGGACGCGTGTGGCTGAAAGACGGGGGCCAACCTGTGACAGAGGCGGCACCTCCTGATGACCAGCATAAGGGCCGTGTCGCGGCCTTTGACGGCGCCGTCGTGTCGACTCTTGACTCTCTACTTGGCGATGGTGATCTGCTACCTCCTGGGTCGGTCGAGGTGATCCCAACCACCGCCGGCAGCACCGACGACTTCGGCGCCTGCGGCTCCGACTCCGCGCTTCTGGAGGTGCCCCGCCCGCGCCTCTGCTCTGGCGCCCGCGGCTGGCCGCGGCTTGGGAGATCTCGCGCGTACCTGCTGACGCGGACTGCTCCTCCTCCTCTTCCTCCTCCTCCTCCGCATCCGCATCCTCCTCCTCATCCTCCTCCTCCTCATCATCATTATTTTCCTCCTCCTCCTCCTCCTCCTCCGTTCCCCCTCCTCCTCCCCCTCCTCCTCCTCCGCCTCCTCCTCCTCCTCCTACAGTCGGCCCAGATTAGTAGGTCGACCCTGCCAGATCAAGGGTACCCTCAGATCCTGTGTCTCGCGACCCATGCCTCCTGCGTTTCTGTGGCAATGTGGCCCTCGGAAGGGTCTTGTGGCCTCTCGCGTGTTCTCTCCAATCAAGTCCGACTGTGCTTCTCCTCCTCCTCCTCCTCCTCGTCCGCCTCTCTCTCCTCCTTCTTCCTCCTCCTCCTCCTCCTTCTCATCCTCCTCTCCTCCTCCCTCCTCCTCCTCTTCCTCGTCCTCCTCCCTCTCCTCCTCCTCCTCCTCCTGTACTCCTTCCTCCTCCCTCCTCCTCCTCCTTCCTCCTCCTCGTCCTCCACCTCCTCCTCTCCTTCCCCCTACTCCCTCTCCTCTCCCGCCTCGTCCCCCTCCTCCCCCTCCTCGTCCTCCTCCCCCCGCCTTCCCCTCTCTCCCCTTCCTTCTTATCTCCCCCGTCCTCGTCCTCCTCCTCCTCCTCCTCCTCCTCTTCCTCCGCCTCCTCCTCCTCGTCATCATCATCCTTCTCCTCCTCCTGCTCCTCCTCCTCCTCCCCCTCGGAGCTCGAAGCTGCGGGCTGCTCACCTCGGCACCCCCCGCCCAGCGGGGTGCCAACAGGGGGGTAAACACATCAAAGACAAGAGGTAAGAGTTGAAGAACAAAAGGCGCGACCCAACGGCGGACGCGACGAAGGCAAACCTCGGATGGGAGCACCAGTAGGTAGGGCCGTGGCGCGGCATGATGTACTTATAGGCTGCGATCAGCCAGACCCTACCATGCAGAGTTAGGGGATCATTGGCCCGCGAGGGGATCCCGTCGCTTACATGTCAGGAGCGCCCTGGTCCAGGAAGGACCCCACCGCGGCAAGTCCACCCCCAGGGGAGGGAGGGCCGGGCAGCTGTGGGCGCTTGCATGCGCCGGCGGCGGGGCGGTTCGCGTTTGAAGGTGGCCCGAGCTCGGGGCCCACCCTCTGGGGAGCGGGAGGGTGGGCGCCCCCTCTGTGCAGGAGTGGGGCCAGGCCCCACGCCTCCCTCCTCAGTTTCCACATCTTCCTCCTCCTCCTCCTTCTCCTCCTCCTTCTCCTCCTCCACTTCCTCCTCCGCCTCCTCCTCCTCCTCCTCCTCTTCCTCCACCTCGTCCTCATCCTCCTCCTCTTCCTCCTCCTCCTCGTCCTCCTCCACCTCCTCCTCCTCCTCCGCTTCCTTGTCATCGTCCTCCTCGCCGCGGCCGCGGCCGCACCGGCCGTCCGAGACCCCCGCGCGCCCTGGCGTCGAAAATGCAGCGCGGCAGCCTTGAGACCCAGACCGCTTCGCGTTGTGAACTTACGGTCGGACCGAAGTATGAGATCGAGGTCAGTTGGTGGGTAAGTGCCCTATGGTTATTCGTGTGTGTGTGTCTGTTGGATGTTAGTGTGCATCTTGGGGAGGATACCCTCGGATGTTATGTGGTTGGTTTTACAAGCGGAGGATCTCATCTTCTTGAAGGACTATCGTCTGGCCTAGGTCCGATTGCAGCTGCCCTGTGACGCCCATCTCGAAACGCAACACGTGCCGTGTTCAAAACGTCCGTGTGAACACGCTGCGCGTTGGTTCGGCACCTGTTGGACCACGTTTTGGCAAACGTTTTTTTCGCCAGGCCTGCGGTTTCAATCTACGTGTCGAGCTCCGTCTCAACACGCTACGGGTTGCATGTTGCGCATCGGGGCGGCTATGGTCGTGAAAAAGCATGAGGGGAGTTTTTTTCTCTATTTTCAGCCTGTGGGGCCTCACTGGGCCTCGAGACAGTCAAACAACGCCTCAGGAGGAAGAGCCGCGACCTCTGGGGGTCGAGCCTTTGAAAACAATCGACCTCTGGGGGTCTGGGGATCTAACCAGTTCGGCCCCGCTCCGCAAGAGTTGCTTCCAGCGTTCGTTACAAACCTCGGCTCACTCGAGAGTTTCCCCTCTCCCTCTTGGTCATAACGCGCGTTATGCCCCCCATCCCCCGCTTACCTCTCGCCCGCCCCCCTCATGAAGTAACGCTAACCCCCCCCTCGTGCGTTTCCGGCACTGCCGCAGGGTGTCCAGCACCCCAGTCTGTGTTGCCGGACCTACACTGCGGGGGAGGGGCGTTTTACCCCCTTCCCCCCGCTTCTCCACCCTCCCATAGCGCCCGCTACCGCCGCGAAAAAAACAAGCACTCTCCTCGGTGCCCAGCCAATCTCCCCCGACCCCCGACGTCGCGATTTTTTGTTAACCCGTCGACCCCCAGAAGTCTTGATTCCCAGGGGCGGGCTTTTCATCCCGAGCCGTGCTTTTGACGGTCGCGAGGCCGGCCAAGGGCCCCCAGAGGCCGAAAATAGCACAACACTTCCCGTCATGGTTTTCTCGAGGCGAGAGAAGCTGAAGTGGAACACCCTGGCGTGTGGGATAGATCCCCAAACTTAAGATGTCAGCCTACACTCCTTACGATTTTCTCGAGGCCCGAGGAGGTCCGGGGCCGCCCCCCCCTGCGACACGCGGCCCGCCCCCCCCCGCGGGGGGGCCCCTGGAGCGCCGGCGAGCTCGCGGCGGCGGCGTGGCGGCAGGCGCGCCAGGGCCTGGCCATCTCGGTCGCCCCCTCGGCCGTGGGGGCCTCGGGGCGCCTCCCCCCGAAACGGGGGGAGCGAGGATCCGCCGCCTCCTTGTGCTCCTCCGTCCTCCTCTCCCTCCTCCCTCCTCCTCCTCCTCTCCCTCCTCCTCCTCCCTCCCTCCTTCCTCTCCTCCTCCTCCTCCTCCTCCTCCTCTCCCTCCTCCTTTTACGCTCGTCTCCTCCTCCTCCTCCTCCTCCCTCTCCTCCTCCTCCTCCTCCTTCCTCTCCTCTCGTCTCACTCCTCCTCCTCCTCACTCCTCCTCCTCCTCCTCCCTCTCCTCCTCCTCCCTCCTCCTCCTCGTCCTCCTTCTCCTCCTCCTCCTCCTCCTCCTCAACTCCAACTCCAACTCCTCCTCTCTCCTCCTCCTCCTCCAACTCCAACTCCTCCTCCGCCTCCTCCTCCACCTCCTCCCCTCCTCCTCCCACTTGAGATCCAGGCAACACCCAGCAGGTTGGGGCTGTTTGATGTTTAAAGGATGGCCCCCTTCTGCCTAGCCTGCATATACCACCGCGGTCGCCAGACCCCGAAAGATCCCGAAGGTCCCTGAGTGTCCCCCCTCGCGTCTTCGGCGAGCGACGACACCCTGCGTGCCGGCCAGCCCCGGGAGGAAGGCGTCACGCCGTGCAGGCATCACGCCGCATGAGCACAGAGGCAGGAAGAATCGGCATCAAGAGCGCACAGCAATAAGTGGCACCTATATGATAGCATACAAACTATGGCATTTCATAACATGCATTGCGTACCACACCACCACCTGATATTATGCCCTGTATCAAAACGCAAAACGCCAGGCTATCACACAACATAACGCAGCATGGTACATACTGGCGTAGCAGGGGATACCATCACACACCATATCACAACATAGCACAATTGGTCATACGATTGCAGCGTGGACCACCAAGGAGCACGCCATTGAAAAACATAGCGTAACATAAGCGGACTGTCATACTATTGTTACCACGGTGTCAACACGGTGGCAACGTATTTAATATAACGTAGCAGGGTATCTGATGGCGTTCGGCACAACCCGCCACCGTGCTTGGGTTGTGGGTCTGAAGCCTATTGAATGTTCGTTGGGATCTGGTGGGAGGCCTCCCGGGGACCTATTGGAGGCTGTGTTGAGGCCTCTTTGGGGCCATCTTGTGGCCTTTTAGGGCCTCTTTTGGGCCTCTAAGGGGCCTCTTGGGGGCCTCTTGGGCGCCTCTTGGAGCCTCCTGGGGGCCTCTTTGGGCAGAAGGCTCGGATTTTCAGTTCGTGTGCCATCCTCTTGGGACCCTTCTAGGACCGTCTGGGGGCCATCTTGGGCCGTCTTTGGCTCTTCTTGGGCGTTCTTGGAGCGTCCTTAAGCTGTCTTGGGGCCCTCTTGGAGGCCTCCTGGGCCGTCTTGGGTTGGTCTTGGGGTCTCTTGGGCCGTCTTGGAGCGCCGGAAAACAGAAGGTGAGCACGCCAGAGTCCCTCAAACACCTCAGGAATATAAATGATTATTGCCTCTTGGGGCCCTCTTGCGAGGCCTCTTGGAGGTGCCTCCTGTGGCGTCTTGGATGCCTCTTGGGCCGTCTTCGGGCCGTCTTGGCATCTTGCGCCGATCGTTCGGCGACCCGGGGCCCTCTTAGACCGTCTTCGGCGCCTCTTAGAGCTCTCTTGGCCCGTCTTGGGGCCCGCTTGGCTCCAAAAGAATCACTCCAGAAGCCACGAAAAGCCCCAGGGGGTACGCGACAAGCCCAAGAAGATTTGGCAATTCGGGGTTCAGGCCCTTGAGTATTTTTCAGGAATGTTTAAGGGATTGGGCAAATGACCTGAGGATGCGCCCACTCCGTGCTCAGCAGCAAAGTGGCGGATTACCTGGCTGAACGAGAATATCATAACATAGCAGAGCATAGCTTAACATAGTGAACCGACCATGACATACTACACCATAACAGAGCATACCAAATCAGGTTGTAAAGTAACATGGCATCACATAGCATAGCCAACCACAGCATCACAGACTGTAGCATACCATAACACTATACGTCATGCTCTGGCAGAGCGGGACATAGCCGAGTACAACAAAACCACACATAGCATGCCATACTCGTTATACTTCTGCTGCCTCCACGGCAACGAATATTCCCCAAACAGCCTTTTACACTTAAGGGTTCTTACTTCTTGC